GGCCCTAGCAATTAACAGAGGGTGCATGCAATCTTCTTCTAACATCATAGTATGTAATTCATGCAAACTAGGCATACCGGCTCAACGGGGCGATGACCTCCATCAAGCACCCAGAGCACGAGGTTCGCGTTCAATGGGGCGAATTCGTCCATCAAGCACCCAAAACCCGGCATACACAATTCTAACATAAATTAAACGCATGCATACGTACAACGGAAGCTTAAGGCATACAAGCAACACTCAGATAATTCACCCAACACATCATAACAATCCATCTAATTAATCTCATTCATGGAGAGCTAATTTAAGGCAAAAATTACTAACATGCATACATACAATCCAAGCGAACCCTACAAGTATTTCTTCCTAAATACCGGGTGGTGACTTACCCGATTGACGCGTGTTCTTCGTTGAGCATTTCTACACCAATAGAGTGTCCACAAATGTTGAATTTTCCCATTTAAACCCTATTCCATATAAAAATAGGGTTAGAGTTGGAGTCGGAGGGAAATCGGGCAAACAGAAATCGAACGGGCTGAAAACAGCACCTCACGCGCTCTCACGCGCCTGGGGAAGGTGCTACACGCGCACGGCCACGCGCGCGTACGGACGCGCATGAGGGAGGGGATACGCGCGCTGAGGTGTTGCCACGTGGCGCCCGATAAACGGTCAGCCGAGGTCGAGGTCGTTGGTTCGAAACCGGAAGGGCGCGCTGGACATCCAAGTTTGTTTACGCTGACGCGTGGCAACGCGAAACCGGGTCGGTGGTCCGGGTTGCGCGCGGGTCATCGGGTCGCAAACTCGAGTAGCGGGCCGCCGGCCATCGAATCCCGCCCGACGCGAAGTATTTCTTTGATTTTTTCGTCTCCAATGGACGCTCGACACGTGGCCCTTCTTCTCCGGCGAAGCGCATCCTCCTCCTCCTTTCTCCTCTTTGACGAACGTCGAACTCCCATTTCCGATCTGAATCGATTACAACCTCCTTCACAGGTTTTGAGCGTAATCCTCTGTAGATTAACATACTCAAATTTCAGGCTCTAACTCTTACTAGATCTCACAGATCTAAAGCAATTTCGAGAATCTGGATTCAAGAACTTTACCTTTAGATTTTTCCTCGTTTCTGGATGGTTTTGGACGATCTAAAGGTTAAGAATGTTCTCCTCTAAGTTCTGTGAAGTTTTCATGAAGGCTCGGCCGGAACCGGACTCCTCGTGGCCGGAGCGGCGGTTACCTCCCTCTCTCTCTAGAACTTTCCTTCTCTCTCTATAATTTTCTTTCTCTCACTATTTACATTCTTTTCTTTCTGCCCTTTCTCCTTCTCTTCCTTTTTCCCCTTTATTTTTTCTTTTTCTCTTTTATTTGTATGTTACTAAAAAAAAGAGGGTATAATGACCAAATTACCCTCCAGGGATTAACCTTCACCATCCTTTTAATTTTCTATCATTTTTCTTTTATATTTTTCTTAAGTTCTTTTATTCCTCATCATTTTTCTCTTCCGTCTCATCTCGGATTTTGGTCTTTAAGACCTTCACTAAAATTGAGAGAGATCGACTTTTAAGGTAAACTTAGATTTTAAACTTTCAATTGAGGCTCGGGTATTACATCACTAGTGAAGTTGGTTTAGTCTATCTGGCTCTTCCTTACATGAAGGTAAGAAATCCAATGTCATGTTGTACACATGATTCACTCTTACGAATTCAATCCCAAACCGATCTTGGGCATGCTGCGTCGAAGTATACGTCGTTCCATTAGGAAGTTTGTCGTCATTTCAAATTGCAGTGAATGATCGTAATGAGTTGCTTTCAGGAATCTGGGAAGTATTCTTTTAGAATGCCAAACAAATGGAACTTTTCTTTCGATTACCTCTATGGAGCGATGCTTATTCTTGCAATCTACGTGCCAGGTTCAAGTTCTTGCTGCTTTTCTTTTGCTTATGTTTTTGTATTTGCTCCTTTTGGTAATACAGAAACTGTGTCCTGCAGGAAGTCCACATATGTACCGCTACATGCTTGTTCAGAGGTCAAAAGCTCTCTCAAAATCCAAAAAAGAGTAGGAAAAAATGAAGTTAATGTTATTCTCGGGTTCAGTTTGTCTTAATTCAGTGTACTTTCCGCATATTTATCCTTAATTTTCATTTTTGATCCTTAATTTTTATTTTTGATTGGCTTAGTCTTGTTAAGGACATTTTGTTTCCTCCCTTAATAAATTTGTCTACTGAGACTGCTTAATCAACTCTTAATCTAACTCTAATTAAGCTAATATGATTGATTTAATTATAATATTAAGATTAGTCAGATAATTGTTGTTCTGCTTTTGTGTGATTGTTTCTTTGAATTATTGTATGCTAAATCATTTATTACTCTCATTTAATTGTGTTGTTCTATTTATGGTTTTCTCATTCTTATTGATATTCATTTATGAATGGTTTTCACATTTTATTTAATCATCTTATATTATTTTATATTTATATTATTTTATTTTGACGGTTGAGAGCAATTTATTATTTTATTAATATATTTTGGTTGTAATGATGTGTAATGTTGAAGCTTTGAGTTGAGCTGTTTTTATTTGAAAATTTGCCAGAACTGTATATATTTTTTTGAAAATCAATATATAACGTTCTAATAAGATTTTTAACTCATTAATTTAATTTGCAACCAGATATGTCATAATCAAGGTCCTAATTTGTTTTAAAAATATAATCTTAATATATAAATATGAAAAGACATGTATAATAAAAGAATAAGTAGTACATAGTACATCTCTTTTGATTTCGAATCGAGGTAAGAATGTTATGTTGACGCCAATCAAAATATTCATCCCGCAATTTTAAAGAAAAATTAAAATTAGTAAATAATTCTAAAATTATATTTACATAATATCTAATTAATTTTCAAATTTATCTTTACTCTTGTATTTAATTAGTTCATAATTTTTTAAAATTAAACCTTTAATCAACCTTCATATATTTTCAGTTCAATTTAAATTAATTCCAAGTAATTTATTTTAAAAGGATAAATTCACTAATTTGATTTTATAATAGGTATGTTCTGACCTGAAACTCATCCATAATGAATTAGACAGAATTTGATCTGATAAAAAAAAAATGGTTAAATAGTAAAAAAATAATATATTAACCAAGGATATGAACCTAATATAGTTTAACATGACTCAAGAAAGAGAAAATTTTATTCATAATAATATGGTCAATATATAACAATAATCAAAGTTCATCGGAGAAAAACAAAAAAAAAAATTATATAAAAAAAACACATAATATTCTTATTTTGTTCTCGCCCTACTCAACTTGGTATTCTTATTTTGTTACAAGTATTCTTATTTTGTTGTCGCGTACATTTAAGGTCGCCTTGCATTTAAGTCTCTAACTTGGTATTCTTATTTTGTTAGAAGGCTCAATATTCTTATTTTGTTCTGTGTTATGGACTAAGTACTAGGTCATATCAAGTAAAATATTTTGAAAATTTTAGAAAAAATATTTTATATATATTCTTATTTTAAAAGTTGATAATATAAAAGAAAATTTAATAAAAAATAATTTATACTAAATCAGTATTTAATTTATATAATTTCCACTATTTGATAAGAATATATCAATTTATAAAAAGGAAGTTTATAGACACTTTTTAATTAGGAGACTCATTTATAATTTAAATCTATTATTTTAAATTTAAGAATACATCATTACAAATATTTATATTTATAAATCTTTAAAAATTAAAGATTATAGATAAATTAAAAAAAAAAAAAATAGTTGCATAATCCAACTCATTACTGGTGATTGTTTGGAAATAAAATATTAATAACATATATATAAATCCACCCTCCTAAATTTTTCTAAGTAATTTACATTTTCTTTATTATATTAAAATTAACAGTTTTCTAAGTACCTAACTTTTAGTGTTTCATTTTCCTTGCTACTAGCAGATTATATTTGGTGTGCATGCTCTGTTCAAGTTCAAACTCGAAGACGAAAAATTATATAAAGTAAAAAAATAAAAAGTCAGTCAGATTGTGAAATTTATTGGAATAGATTGCAATAGAAGTCGACGAAATCATTAGTCTTGCATATATCTTCTTCTTGAAAGGAAAGTGGGTCGACCATTTCCGTAGACAGGTAGTATTATAAAACTTGAAAACAAGTAGAAAGTAACACTCTACACCGATGTACTCAAACATGTAAATAATGATTTTTTAGATCAAAATGATTTTTTAGATCAAAATCATTTTCAAACAGGTAAATAAACATGTAAATAATGATCTTTTAGATCAAAATCATTTTACAAATGTACTTAGATAATATATAATTATATAGAACAATAAACACTAATTTAGGTAATATATATCCAAAACAATGAACACATATTTACAGGGTAACAAAAAAAAAAAAAAAAAAAATCCTTAGTAGCGCAAACACGACCGAAAGTTTGTCTCGGAGTAAATCATTAGAGGAGATGAGGACGGAAGTGAGAGACGGAGGGATTATTTGTACAAAAAAGAGTTGAGACATCGACTGCCTATTCTGAGAGAGTGGGACGTGTATCACACATAACCGAAATAGGAAGATTCTCCAGATCTTCCTTCTCATTCCCTGAGTTTTGGCAAAAGTCGGAGGTTGGAAGCTGATCAGATGGCCGAAATAGTAAGATTATCCGAATCGAGGCCTGTAGCTCTTCAGACTAGAGAGGGGGCGTGGATCAGATGAACGGAATAGGAAGATTGTCCACATGCTTGTTCTCCATCAACTGAGCGTCAGGCGGCCGCGGCCATCAACAATGAAGAAGTGGTTGTACAAAATTGTCAGATGGCCATCAATAGAGCAATCAGTGGCTCACCTACCACCATCAATGGGCTGCCATCAATGGAGCAAGTGGCTCACCAATTTTCAGACGGCCTGTACTCATTTTTCATACAAACAAAAGAGCCCACTAAGAATATGAAGCCCATTAAGAATATGAAAAGTTGAAGCCCATTAAGAATATGAAAAGCCCAATTGAAGAAAGCGACGATTTGTACATGTCATAATTATATCTTCCGGAGGTGGTTGATCAGACAGAAGAGATGGAATATTTTAAGAATTATAGGTTTATTTTCTCTTAATTTTTCGCTGTTCAAACTTTTTTTTTTTTTAACTGAAGAATGTACGCAGGGTTTTGATGTACCAGATTTTGGTAACATCTCCAATAAAATTGTTCGAGTTCTCGTGGATGCTTAAAGAGATTTGAATCTTAGCCAATGAAGCTATCAAACATTACAACAAGAAAATGTAATCATTCTAATTTGCTAGTTATGTCCATTTTGTGTTTTTTTTATCATGTAAAAAAGGATTTATACATTCATCTCCTTTAAATAAAATTTGAGAGCAATTTATTATTTTATTAATACATTGGGTTGGAGTGATGTGTGATGGTGAAGCATTGGGTTGAGCTGTTTTTAATTGAAAATTGACTAGAACTATATATGTATTTTTTTAAGGGTTCAAAGTCAAATCAAAATAAATAAATAAGGTTACTTTAAAGATGGTATAACGTTCTATCCTAATATAATAAGATTTTAATTCATTGTCCATAAAAGGTATGTAATTTAACCTATGCGCAGCGTCATGAACTTAGGCGTTAAAAAGTGTGTTGGACATAGTGCACAAGACTAGTACATGGATTCTTGTTTTTGCAAATTGTTCCAATTTGTAGCTCGACATCTCTTAGGACGTGTTAGGCATGCATACGAGAATTTGCAACCACATACGTCATAATCAACTTGTAGTCCTCGTTTGTTTTAAAAATAATTTTTTTTAATTAACAAAAGTTGCAATATTATGAAATTTAATAAACATTCCTAAATTATTGAAGTAGAAATCGATAGAATAGTTTAACATAAATGTAACCAAAATGTTTATCTAGATTTCACTTTGAAATAATGACACTGAGACTTTTCACTCTAAAATCTTGTACATGTAATATTACAAATTTTAAAAGAATATACATTTTTTAATCCATGAAAAAAATATATATTTATATATATAAAATCATTCTATAGTAAAAATATCAACTTTTGAGACTACTAACTTGAGATGTGACGGAAGCTCAATAATTACTTGTTTGCTTTATAAGGATTGTTTAATTTTTTGTTTGCAAAAGGAAATAGGGTAATGATATCAATTAAAATATAAGTTGATCAAAGTTTTAAACGAAAACAAATCTACCTAAAATGAGTTCAAATTAAAAAGAAAAAAAGAAACAATTTTCTTCATAAATAAGCTTAATCTCATTTAACATGTAACTAAAAAAAGCGGTGGATTTATAAGTTCGGTTTATTTTCACATCTTTGCTTAAAGTTAGGTTCTTAGTCTATAAGTTTTTGCTTTATTTAAAGTTTGGTCCCCATCATTTTAAGAGCTTCATTATAGTTGTTTTTATTATTAACGACAATTTTATACATTTTACATTGACGGTAATTATAATAGTTCGAGGCCACCGTGAGTAGATATTGTGCGCTTTGACCCTTATATATCGTTGTCACATTCATAGTTTTTGCCTGTTAAGGAAGAGGTTTCCACATTCTTATAATAAATGTTTGGTTTCCCTCTCCAACCGATATGAAATCTCACAGCAATAAAATTCGAGTTATGTTGTATTGACTAGTAAAGAAAATCAAGTGCAGGTTTTTAGATAAAGATGAAACAACTCGTGTACAAAATGAGTCTTGTCAAACATCTTCTAAAGCCCTAACCTCAAAACACGTCCCTCATGTTATTAAGAATAACCAGTTTCCTCTTTACCAAAAAATCCACGTGTTTTTTTATATTTTGTTTACCAAACAATACAAATAACTAATATAACCTTCCACATATCATTTTTGACTTAACTTTAATAGCAAACAACTTGTGAATGATAGAATTGCATGCAATAATTATATGCATAAACAAAACTTGTCCTGTATCGTAAAAGAGTGCAACTTTAAACTTATAATAAAATGATAATTATTTAGATATAGAGGTTGTCGTTGTAAAATTAAAACAAAAAAACAAAAGAAGAAAAGGAAAAATTGAAATAAAAATAATAAAGGCCACAATAAAGCAGGTGTTTTGGTATCCACAATTTTGAGTTTACCACCAACCATAAATAATTTGGATTTTATTATCTTCATGACCACCTCACTTTTCTCACCAACACAATACTACCACACAAAATTATTTTATTTCATATTTTATATTA